TGTTGGACCTCATGTGGCAGCCCAGAGACCTGCAGCCAGGAACCCCGCCTCATCACCACCCCCGTAGCCGGAGTATGCGAGGCTGCGTCCGCCACGTCTAAAGCCGCTTGTAGAGAGACCCAGGAGACCAACTTCCCTTCCTCCACCAGTGTGGAGAACTCCACACAAGAGTCTTGTGGCAGGAGTTCTGGAAACTTGGCCATCGCAGAGCAGGTATTTTGCCCATGTCTGCTTACAATGGCCTGCTGGTTAGCTATGCGGAATTGCAGGCCCCCTGTCAAATAGGCCTTCCTAACGAACAGGTCCAGTCTTTTCGCCTCCCTATCTTTTGGGGTGGAGCCTTAGAAACCCTAGCGCTCCCTCTGATTGGCCGCATCGACCAAACAGTCTGGGGAGGGTGGATATATAAATGTTCGTACCCTTTAGATGGTACGAAATAGCGCCGTTTGGTTCCCTTGGCCATAGGGCCAGAGAAGAGGGGGTCTGCCACAGAGATTTTGTTGTGTCCACTACTGTTTTTATCAGTGGCAGGGCAACCCTTGATGGATCCGAGGGAGCGAGGATGTCCACAACAGGGTTCGACTCCTCTGCCACCTCCTCTGCCTGTATCCTCAGGCTTTTGGCAGCCTGTCGCAGAAGCTGCTGGAGAACTCGATTTTCCTCGAGAACTGGGGCCGCTGATGTCCCCGCGACCGCTTCATCCGGTGAGGACGAGGAGGAGAAGACTGGCAATGTACCTTGCTCACTACCTTCAGCACCCTTCCGGTCCCTCAGCACACGGTATTCGAAAGGCTACGGTGCCGGGAGACTCGGTACCGTGGCCGGTGCCGGGGTTACTAGTTCTGGTGGTGCTGAGCTTGTCGGTGCCGGAGCTGGAGCCCTTGGCAGTGCCGTTGACTGGAGGGTCGGTGCCATAGCTGGTTGTAACAGCGGGGCTGTCACTTCAGTCGACGGTGCTGGTGTCGGCAGTGCTTGCGGGAAAAAGGATGCCCAAGACACTGACGCTGACTGGGATCTTGGACTGTGGTCCTGACCCTGGCTCTGGTGGTATGCCCAGGGTGTCCAAAAAGGCCATTGGGAGGATAGCTGCCACTGCTGTGGCCATGGTGCCAGGTAGGGTTGGTGGCTCCGGCATGACCTGGACCTCCTGCTCCTCGATCTGCTGGAGCGATAAGAGTCCGCCTCCGACTCTGAGGTCTCCAAGTAGGAGGACCATGGAGGAGCAGTACCCTGAGTCGCCGGTGAGTGGTGCCAAGGGGCAGAGGATTGGTGCGGTTCCTCTGTCTGCGCGAGCCGTGCTGGGGATGGAGAACGGTAGGCCATCATTGCCCGTTTGCCCCTAGAGTGAAGGGAGGGGGCACGCAGTCACCAGCGACTTGTCTCCTCCTTTGAGGGGAGGATGGCACCGGGAGGTGCATCAGGTCTCTGGCAGCCTCGAACGCCTCCGGCATCGATGGTAGCTGCAGGTGGTCATCTTGGAGATCTGGGGACCGAGGAGGGTTCTGACTCGACTGGACCCTGGCTGGGGCAGGAGTCAACGATACCCTGGAAGGCTGCAGGGAAGAGGCAGTCTGTCCCGAGTCACTCATGGACACCGCTGACCCCTGGGGTTTCAATTGAGGGGACCAACCCCTCTTCTGCCTCTTCTTCTTTAACGGCACCGGGGATTGAGAGCGGTGCCACACCGAGGCCGGCTTCTTATGGCCTGAGCTGTGGTGGTGCTGAGGGGCCTTAGAGTCCTTGGTTGATGCCAATTCGCACACTGTCAGCGCCAGAGCACTGCACACCGATGAAGACGTACTGGGCGCTGGTTCGGCGGGTCCCGAGCTGGAGTGTGGCCGTAGCGCTGCCTCCATTAACAGAAGGTTAAGTCTCTGTTGCCGGTCTTTGAGGGTTCTGGGATGGAAACCCTTACAGATTTGGCACTTTTCTTTCTGGTGACTCTCTCCGAGGCCCCGCAGACAGGATGAGTGAGGGTCACTCTTAGGCATAAACTTGCCGCAGTCCTCACGGAGCTTAAACCCTGGAGACCCAGGCATACCGCAGAAGGGGAAATGTCGCGGGGGACGGGACCCCTCCAAACAAACTAACTATTACTATTAAAGAAATAACTATTAACTAAGAAAACTATTTACACGGTATGCTATAAGACACTGCTAAAGTGCTTGCTACAGGAGCGAGCGATGTTTCAGCTAGCTGTCACTGGCAGTAAGGAGGAACTGAGGGGGTGGAGGGTTGGCAGGGCTCTATACTGGGTGCCATGAAGGCATGACTCCAGGGGGCGCCCAGGCCGACCCTATAGACGCTGCTAAGGGAAAAATCTTCCGGCTGGCGTGCACGTAGCGCACACACCCCTGCTTGGAATGGACATGAACAATCACTCGAAGAAGAATGAAGAATTTCATTTGCCATCCTGTTGCCTACTCTCCTAGTTTGATAAGGTCCCTCTGAAGTTCCCCAATCTATTCTCAACTTGTCTAACCTAAATAACTTGTCTTATGTGCAAATTTTGCTACCTCACTGCACACAAACATTAATAAATATATTAAATAATATGGGACTTAGGATGGAACCAGGATGCACCCTACAATTAACCTTTTACCATGATGAAAACTGACCCTTTATTCCTATTCTTTGTTTCTGGTCTCTTAAGCAGTTTTTGATCTATGCCCATACTTTCCCTCCAACCCCCTCACTATTTAGTTTCTTCAGTAGACTTTTGTGCAGTACATCAACTGGTTCCACTTTATCCACTACTTTATTGACACTATTTTTTTCAAATTATTTTTTCAATCAATATACCACCTATAGATCTAAGACTTACTGGTCCGAATTCCCCAGATCACTGCTTGTGCCTCTTCAATATAGACAACATTTGCTACCATTCAGTTTGCTAGTGCAGTAGCTGTTTTTGAGAGAGAGAGAGAGAGAGAGAGAGAGAGAGAGAGAGAGACAGACAGACAGACAGACAGACAGACAGACAGACAGACACTTTTGTTAGCAGCTCAGTCACTTCACACTTATACTCTGGATTTTGACCAGACAGATATCTGGGATATAGCAACCAGTTATGGACAAGAAAGGGAAGGAAAAATAAGAAAGAGGGAAAAACTCAGTCCCCCCGCTTCTTCCTAAAAATTAGTGCCACTGAAACTATCATTTGGAACATTGTACTTCCAAAGGCTACTTCTGATGAGAACTGCATGCTGAACCTGTCATATTTTATAAAGATGTTGGTGCTGGATATAAAGAAAAATAAGGGAGGAAGTAACGTATGTGGATTTTAATTAAGCATTTAATTGAAATCTCTCAATACAACCACTTGCCTGGATATGAGCAATACTGGATAAATTGGAATCTGGCTGAAGGACTACACACAAAGGGCTATTACAAATGACCAGTTATCGGGATGACAGAAATGTTTCTAAATAGATACTGAAAAGGGATCTAGGAAGGAGGATAAACAGGTTATTAATAAAATAAAATATATTAATTTGGGAAGAGATTCAAACATTTTTGAAGGCCAATAAAGATAAAGGAATCTAGGATAAATTAATAAAGTGGATAGGAAAACAAAGTGAGATTTCAACTTGAAGAAATACATGTAAATACATCTGAAGATGCTAATCTGACGGTAAAAAATTAAGCTGCAGCAATAGAAGAACAAACAAATAAAACCGGACTCCTCACGAAGAGGCAAATTAGACACAAGTCTAGAAAACAGTAATGTCAGAAGAGGCAGGGTAAGAGTGGATGGCAAATTAGACACGAGTTTGCACAGTGATATGGCAGCATAAGAAAGGCAAGGCAAGTTTGAAAAGAATACAAAGGCATCACATCACAGGACAGAGAGATAACAGTCCTATCTCTGGTACAACTCCACCTGGGATATCTGATTTAATTCTGGGCACCGTGTTATCAGGAAAATATACTAATATAGTAAAAGGAACTGAGTGAAGAGCAACAGATGATTAGGCGCAGCTAGGAGGACTGATTTAAGAGGAAAGACTTTAAAATTAAACAAAGTTAAACGTAGGGCTTGGCTATACTTGCGAGTTACAGCGCACTAAAGGAGCCCCAGGCGCACTAGCTCACTACCCATCCACACTGGCAAGGCACGTAGAGCGCTCGGACTCCATGGCTAGAGCGCTCCTGGTACTCCACCTCGGCGAGTAGAACAACATTTGATGCTCCCCCGCTGGAGCACCCCAGCGTCAGTGTGAACGAGGTGTTGCATTACTGTGCTCTAATCAGCCTCCGGAAATGTCCCATAATCCCCTTAAGTCAAGTGGCCACTCTTGTCATTGTTTTGGATATGCCTTTTGAAAGGTCCGTTTGACAGCCGGCATGCTTAACTGCTCCGAGACAAAGCAACCATTACTGTGGAATGCTGTGTGAGAGAGAGAGGCGGGGGAGGAAGGTCTGTTGCTGTCTGAACTTACAAGACAGCATGCTGACATGCTCTCAGCCCCCCAAAAACCCACTCTCTCTCCCCCCCCATACACACAACACACTCCCTGTCACACTCCACCCCACCCCTCCACCCCCATTTGAAAAGCACGTCGCAGCCACTTGCATACTGGGATAGCTACCACAATGCACTGCTCTCTCTGGCCATTGCAAGAGCTGCTAATGTGGCCACGCCAGTGCGCTGGCAGCTGTCAGTGTGGACAGACTACAGCTCTTTCCCTACTGTGCTCTACGAAGGCTGGTTTAACTCAAAGCGCTCTACATCTGCAAGTGTAGCCATGCCCATAGTTGGCTAAGTGATGACAAGAGATTGGCCTGGTTGGAACATTTATAAAAATATTTGAAGGATTTCAACATTAAGAATGGAGAAGCATTATTTAGAATAATAAAAATATAAAATAAAATAGGATGAAACTGAGAAGTTTAAAATTAATAAATGTACAATAGGAAACAATATTTCATTAATAAGAAGAGGGGATCAATGAGCTATTAGGTCTTTTCATCTCTAGATTCTGTGATTGTTCACTTACCATTACAATCTCTCTCTTCAGAGTTTTCCATTATTTGAGAATTGGGAATTTCTCCATTACATCCTTCACTTTCCCTTCTCAGTTCTAAAAGTACAGGAGTCTTATTGGTTTCCTTTTCAGATCCATGCTTAGCATTGTCACAGATGGCTCTCTCTTTCCCACCTTCTGCCTCAGATTTGTTTTCACAACCATTTGTCTGCCGTTCCTGAAGAGCAGTTTCCCCTTCTTCCACTGAAGAATCACGTGTGACCTCAGCTTCAGTCTGATCTACACTGGAATCATGATTTTCCAGCAACACTTCTCCATCACTCTCAATTTCATCCTGCTCTTCCTCTGGAATTTTGTTCTCTTTATTGAACTGAAAAATCTTCCTCCTCTTTTTTATACTACCCAAGGACCACCTATTCTTTCTGCGAGGTTTTTTCTTTGATAAAGCTACAAAAGAGTTAAAAAAAATGAAAACAAAACCACAAGAGTAACCCAAAAATATTTGTCAAAATTATTTTTCAATATTGATATCTACATCCCAAGTCTTTCTTACTTGATGAGCAAGAAAAATGACCAAAAAGAGAAAGTTACTCACCATGTGCAGTAACGGAGGTTCTTCGAGATGTCTCTCCCTATGGGTGTTCCACTGAAGGTGCAGCAGTGTCCCCTGTGCCTGGGATCAGAGATCTTCGGTAGCAATGCCCATTGGGCTACACACATGCTCCTCCCCATCTCACGCTGTGGATGGTATCTATATATAGCGCTGTGCAGTCCAATTGCCCTCTATTCCTTCTCTACCACAAAACTTATCTTTGAGCTCTGAAGCAGAGGGGAAGAGGGCAGGTAGTGGTGCACCCATAGGGACACACATCTCGAAGAACTTCAGTTACTACACAGGGTGGGTAACCTTCTCTTATTCTTCAAGTAATGTCCCTATGCGTGTTCCACTGTAGGTGACTGGGGCTGGGGCTTCAGAGTGGCATCCAATAAGAAGAGCACAGTGCATCCTAGTGGGGCATCTGATGCTGCATCATGGGTAAATGTCTAAAAAGTGTCTGCGCATGCCCAGGTGGCCGCTTTGCAAACGTCAGTGATCAGCACATTGTTGAGAAGAGTAATCTAGGTGAAGAGAGAGCGAATGGAATGCGCTCGAGTTCCGGGTGGAGGTAGCTGGTTGTGCAGTTGATAACAAAAGGTATATGCACTAAGAAATCCACTCGGAAAGACGTTGTTGAGATACAGCAGCTGCCTTCGATTGTTCGGTGGTTGAGAGGAGTAAGCATGGCATTTGTCAAAGATTTTGTTCTATCAATGTAAAAGGCTAATGCTCGCCTAACGTCCAAGGCGTGTAGCGTTGCTTCATGTTGATTGGTATGTGGCTTCGGGAAGAAGCAGGGATGGTGGATAGGTTGGTTCAAATGGAAGGACGACGGCACCTTACGTAGGAATTTTGGATGTGTGCATAACGTGACCTTATCCTTATAAAAAATTGTGTATGGGGGTATGCCACGAGAGCACCTATTCCTCCTATTAGTCAGGCAGACGTGATGGCTGTAAGAAATGCTGTTTTCATAGAAGGATGAACGTAGGTGCACGTTGCCATGGGCTCAGTGGTCTGGTGAGACAGCGCAAGACAAGGCTGGGATCCCAGGGTGGAGAGGGATGTCGTACGTGAGGGTAAAGGTTCAAAAGGCCTTTAAGGATTCTCTTCATGAGCTGGGGGTGAGTACAGAATAGCCATCTATCTTGTGGTAGAATGCTGTGATGGTGGCCAAGTACACACAAATGGAGCTTGTGGATAGGCACAATCTTTTAAGATCTAGAATATAATCTAGAATGAGAGGTAACGGGGAGTTCATCACCGAGACATGAGTGGCTATGCACCAGGATAGGAATATTTCCCATTTTTGGAGATAAGTATGGCGAGTCGTGTCACGTGTGCTATTTAAGATAATTTCTTTTACTGTCTCTGAACAGGTCATATCTGAATTCCAAAACCATGAAGGAGCCATGCCTTTAGATGAAGGAGACAGATTGGGATGGAGGATTCAGCCCATGTCCTGCAGGAGGATGTATGGAATCAGTTGCAGGATTATCGGAGAACATACCGTCATACGTAGGAGGTAAGGATACCAAAATTTGTTGTGGCCATGAGTATGACTCCGGCTCATTCCACTTGTATTTTGTGAAGTACCTGGAACAAGAGGGGGAAAGGTGGAAAGGTGTAGAGCAGGGCCGGCTCTGGCTTTTTTGCCGCCGGGGGGGTGGGTGGGTGGGCGGAGCCCCGGGGGGAGGGTGGCGAGCCCCGGCGGGGGCTCCGCTCTCCCCCCGGCGGCCGGGGGGAGGGCGGCGAGCCCGGCCGTGGCCCCGCTCTCCCCGGCGGCTGGAGCGCCGCGCCGCCCCCCTCCAGGTGCCGCCCCAAGCACAAGCTTGGTGGGCTGGTGCCTGAAGCCGGCCCTGGTGTAGAGTAGTGGAGCATCCCATGTAACAAGAAAGGAAAGGAGTCTCCCAGAGACCCATGGTCTAGACCTGCCTGTATGGAGAATTGAGGGCATTTAGTGTTCTCTGTTGTGGCAAAGAGATCTATGTGGGGAAATCCCCAGCAGTTGAATATGTGCTAAAGAACTCTTGTATCTAGGTCTCACTTGTGGTCTTGTGATAATCGTCTGTTTAGCGAGTCTGCCATGGTGTTCTGGTGTCCAGGCAGATATGTGGCTGAAATGTTGATGTCGTGGTGCATACACCAGTTCCACAATTTTAGGGCTTCCGAGAATAGCAAGCGTGGCCTCACTCCGCCTTGTCTGTGGATGTAGAACATGCAGGTGATATTGTCTGTCATTACTTTTATGGCCCGATGTCAGATTAGTGGTAGGAAATGTTGGCACACATTGTGAACAGCTCGCAGTTCTAGAAGAAGGTTAATGTGCATGGAGGATTCTGCCGGAGACCATCTTTCCTGCATCGTGTGGGTCTGAAGGTGTGCTCCCCAACCAATTAGGGAGACATGGGTTGTTAGAATCAGGGATGGTGCAGGTTGGAGAAAAGGGACCCCTGTTCAGACGTTCTGGGGTTATGTCCAGAGTAGAGTCCTTGGTCTTGATAAGCATGGTTAGGAGTTTGTGAAGACTGCGTCTGTGAGGTACATACACTGTGTAGCCGCACCTGGAGACAACGCATGTGCAACCCGGCAAGTTTTACCCTGAACGTGGCTGCTGTCATATGGCTGAGCAGCTGGAGGCATGTCTTGGCTGAGATCAGTGGGCTGTTTCTCACAATGGATACGAGGTTGACTATTGTAGAAGTCTGTGAGCTGAAAGGAAGGCTCTGGTCTGTATTGCATCCTGGTGTGCCGCAATAAACTCCAGATGTTGTACTGGTGACTGTGTTGATTTTTGTATGTTTATTTGAAGGCTGAGGTTTGAGAAAAGGTCCATTATCTTTCATATGGCATGAACTGCATTGGATTCGGATGAGCCTTGAGAAGATAGTCACCTAAGTATGGGAATATGCCTTGTTTGCATAGGTAGGCTGCACTGTGAGGACTGTGGAGAATACTCGGGGGGCTATAGAGAGTCCAAAGGGTAGTATAGTAGAACCTCAGTTACAAACACCTCAGGAAGGGAGGTTGTTAGTGAACAAAATGTTATGGTTGTTCTTTCAAAAGTTTACAATTGAACATTGACTTAATACAGCTTTGAACCTTTACTATGAAGAAAAATGCTGCTCCCCCCTCCCCCTTTTTAAAAGTAGTTTACTTTTAACACAATGGGCTTGTCTATACTTAGGCGCTGGTTCGGCGGCAGGCAATCGAACTTCTGGGTTCGATTTATCGTGTCTTGTCTGGACGCGATAAATCGAACCCAGAAGTGCTCGCCGTCGACTCCGGTAATCCTGCTCGGCGCGAGGAGTACGCGGAGTCGACGGGGGAGCCTGCCTGCCGCGTCTGGACCGCAGTAAGTTCGAACTAAGGTATGTCGACTTCAGCTACGTTATTCACGTAGCTGAAGTTGCGTACCTTAGTTCGAATTGGGGGGTTAGTGTAGACCAGGCCAATACTATTCTGTATTTCTTTTATCTTTTTTGGTCTCTGCTGCTGCCTGATTGTGTATTTCCAGTTCCAAATGAGGCATGTGGTTGACTGGTCAGTTTGTAACTCTGGTGTTCATAACTTGGAGATTCTACTGTACCTTGAATTGGAAATGATCAGTCTCCAGGATGAATCTGAGGAATAGTCTGTGAGCAAGGTGTACAATGATGTGAAAATACATGTCTTGGAGGTCAAAGGCTGAGAATCAGTCCCCCTGTTCCAGTGCTGGGATAATGGTTGATAGTGTAACCATCTTGAAGCATTGCAGTTTGATGAACTCGTTGAGATTTTGTAAGATTAGGATCAGTCTCCATCCTCTGGATTTCTTTTTGATCAGAAAACAGTGGGAATAAAAACCTTTCCCTCTGTGTTGGGGGATTAGACCGGTTCTATGGCTCCCAGTCACAGAAGGTGATTTATTTCTTCTCGTAGAAGGTGTTTGTTAGAAGAGTCCCTGAAGAGGGATGCAGAGGAGTGGTGGGAGGGATTGGAATGGATTACACTTCGTTGATTATTTCCAGGACTCACTTGTCCTAAGTGATTTGACCCCATGATGGATAAAAGGGGGCTAAATGGTCACCAGACTGGTGGGTTGTTAAAGATGGCTGCAGCAACTGGAACAGGGGAGGCTTCTCGGGGCCTCGACCAAACTTTTAAAATTGTTGTTTAGAGAGTTGCATGAGAGATAGGTCCTTGAGGCGGCATTTGTCTGCGCTTCGGTGAGGGTCTCTGTCATCTTCGTTGTATGTCATACTGACGATCAGGGGTGAAAGGTGGAGGTCGGGATCTCTAGGTATGCTGGTATTTCACCCGACATCTCTTCGGCAATGGTGTATATATGCCGAGAAAGCAGAGAGTCACTCTGGAGCCCTTTTGAAAATGTAGGGACTCATTCTTGCATTTGGCATATAGCTTGGAACCCTCAAGGGTATTTCTTCAACTGTACTCTGCACCTCTTTAGGGATTCCAAAGAGGTGAAGCCATGACGCTCTTCTCATTACCATGGCTGTTGCGATGGAGTGAGCAGCCTGGTATGCAGAATCCAGGGAAGTTTGTAGTGCCGTGCGGGCCAGAAGATGTCCTTCAGACATGAATGCCTGGAATTGCTCCTTCTTATCTGGCAGATGTAGACAGAAGTCCTGTATTTCAGAATAGTTAATATTATTGTATTTGGCCAGGAGAGCCTCATAATGGGTGATACAAACCTGGAGTATCGCAGAAGAACATGCTTTGTGACCGAACAAGTCTAGTTGCGTCCAGACCCTGTTGTGGGGGCATTGTCCTGGGGTGGTGGTGGACTCCTTTCTTGTGTACTGCATTGATGATCAGGGAGTTTGGAATAGGATAGGGAAAAAATTTCTAGATCCTAACGGGGACATGGTATTTTTTGTCCACTCGCTTGCAGGTTGGTGGGATGGACAATGGAGTCTACCAGAGCACCTTGACAGGGTCTAACAGAGCCTCATTAATAGGGAGGGCTATCTTCGCCAATGTGGAGGCGTGTAGGATATCGAGCAGCATGTGTTTTTGCTTTCAACTTCCTCAGTGGGATCTGGAAAAATTCTGCAATTCTGTGGAATAGTTCTTGAAAGTGTCTGAAATTTACTGATGTAGGAGATGGTAGCATGATGGTCCTCATCAAGGGAAGAGGAGAAGAAGTGAAGTGGTGGTGTAAGTTCTTCCTCCGTTTCTTCCTGTTGTTCCTCCATTGGTACTGGATCGACATCACGTGGTCAAGAGATGGATGAGAATGGCGATCATGCGTGTTTCTGGCTCTGCTCTATGGGTGTTTTGGGAAACTGCGCCCTGTACATAACCCATGGATACCAGTAGCGCCAATGTGGAAGAATTGGCATGTGGGGTTGCATCCATGGGGGACTGTACCAGGGTCCTGGTTTGGTTCCAGGCTCTGGATAACGTGGACGAGCAGAGGATTGTCTGTGTAGGTGTTCTGGAAATGTGGGTAGAATGGAGTACTCTTCATCTTCTTCCTCATCGCTGGGGAAGGGTGGAATGGTTTTCGGTGGTGAAGAGGAGTAGTGTTGTGACTCCGGGGAAGAGGCATGAGCTATCAGGAGCTTGCTACAGAGAAGTGGAGACTCAGGCGTATCAGAGATGACCAAGTCCCATGGATATCTGTACTCCTGTGGAGCAGACAGGAGCAATCGGCACCGGTGGTTGTCTGGAAAGTGAAGGAACTATCAGCGCCAAGGGTGGGGTGTATTCCCTTGAGCGGCCAGTAGATGGTATAGATGGTTTGCCTGGTGCCGAGAGCCTAATTGGTGCCAAGGATTTGGTCGGGCTGAAGCACCCAAGTTGTCTTGGATGAGGCACTTTGTACCATTTCAGAAGCTCTTGCACTGTGGTTCTTGGTCCCGAGAGACACTGTGTCCATCTGTGGTCCTGCTCATTTAGGATCCTTGGACTTCTGTTTATCTCCAGTACCATATGTACCCAGACAGTCATGGGAGCTAAGTTTCACCTCTGATGATGTTGAGGCTACTGACCTCATAAGAGATGGCTTTCTCTGAGGCAGCTCCTTGGAAGGCGATGTAGTGGCCTGTTTCTTCCTGTCTGTGCAGGAAAGAGGATTTCTGAGTGAGGTTCAGCTGATGACCAAGCCAAACGTGAGAGCTGCGCTGGAGAGGTATCAGGGCTGGGGTCTGAAGCTGGCCACAGAGAACTTTCCATGAGAAGAAGATTCAGTCTGAGTTCACAGTCCTTTCGGGCCCAGGTGGTCAAGCTGATGCAGCAGGTGCACTTCTATGCAACGTGGCCCTCACTGAGACAGTGGATGCACCGTGAGTTAAACTTTGCTCTGGGAAAGATTTCCCGAAAAGAGAGGCACCTCTTGAACCTGAGGGATCCCAGCACAGTCCCAAGAGGGGTGGGGGAGAGCTCTCATTTTGGGAGGACGGGAAACACAGAAGCATAAGGTAATGGGGAGGGAAGAGTAATTGGAATATATATATATTTATTTAAAGGGGAGAAAATTAATGGAAATGGCTAATAACTACTGATGTAAGGTAAGTTAATGAGAGAATCTCTAAAAGTTAAGGAGGTAGAGGGGCTCTGGTCCTGATTGGTCCCAGACCAAAGGCTCTTGAGAAGGATCTGAGGGTGGTTGGACCGCACAGTGCTATATATTGATGCCGCCCACGGTGCACTGCTATCAAAGATCTCCAATCTCAGGCACAGAAGGTGTTGCCGCACCTACAGCGGAGCACCCATAGGGACACTACTCAAAGAAGAATTTAAGTATTTTAATGCTAGACTTGTCTTGACAAGTCACAGGTTTGCTATTTGATTTAAAAAGCATTAAAAGTTAATTATGCAATAGCATTCACAAAATGTTATCATTATGTGGGGAGAATTTTTATACGTTATTAAATTATATGTGGTGACAAACAAAATAAGCACTTTACAAAAACACTGAATAAGACCCATTCTTTTGCACAAACAGTTTATGCCACTGTCAAGACAAAAAATTGGGACCACTATTCAGGTAAGCGCAGATGTAGATAGATCATTGATAAGACAACCAAAATCAGAACATCTCATGGAGTAGGTGGTTTTATGGGCTGATTTGAAGAAGTGACTGCAACTGTACAAGGTTTAGGAGTCCTTCTACTGGACACTTTCCAGATTGTATATGAAACTCTACCCAGAGCTACTTAACTTGCATGGAATGGAGTTTGCTTATGTCTTCCATAATGGAAGGACCCTTTGTCTTGATTGAGTGCAATATCAAAGAACATAGGTGAAATCCTGGTCCCAGTTAAATGAATGGGAGTTTTGCCATTGGACTTCAGTGGGCCCAGGATTTCACAATATATCCTCTAATCTGGTTTACACCTAAATTGAACTGGAAGCTAAAAACTTATTTGTGCTTCAAGTCCTTTTCACAGTGTAGGGAAAAGGTGGTGAACATGAAACTGTTTTCCCTTCAGACATCTACAGCTTATGCTCCCACATTCATTTGCTTATTTTGCAGCTGTTTAATCATTCTTGTTTGGGGTTACAGTAAAAAGCGGAGACTTGCATTACAAGGAGTATTATGGCTCATGCTTGGGGGAGGAGAGGAGGGAAAGGTCATGGCAGGGAAGAAAAGGATTAAGGCTGTCTCCAACTGAAAGAAAGATTTGAGAAGTCTTCAGAAACTGTTAAAATGGAAAATTTTGTTTTAAGTATGGACATGCTTGGTCAAGTTGTGGAAACTCTTATTAAGAGACTACTTGCCATTAGAAAGGAAAGGTGAGCTGGAATCCACAGGCATATCAGGTATCTTCATTTTTTCACTGCACTCAGGATCCAATTTCTTACATTCAGATATGGAGCTCTGCTTTGGCATCACATAATAGTAAGATGGAGCATATTTTGAAGAGCTGCAACCTTGAAATGAAAAACAGTTATACAGTAAAGGATTATCTGTTTCTTGATACAGATATTTAGACAAACTTTATTATTCCTGGCATTAAACACACACCTCTTTTCTTGCGAGACTCCTGAATTTCTTCACACAGTTGTTCAAAGTCTTCATCCATTTCTTCCTTGACTATTGCATATGCTGTATCTCTCAGAGTACAGGCTCTATGTCTGATGAGACGATCTGAAAGTTATGGACAGAACTAAATACTTTCCAACAATGTTCTTTGCTTTTATCACAGACAAAAGTTCAGCTCTTCGCTATTAATTACATTTGTGTTTTGAAAAGATTGTTTCAGTTTATAATTTTAGCATAACATATTATGTAATAGGGTGACATAGAAAGGATAGCAAAAATTAAAACCAGAAGAAAACGCTAAATATCAGTTTAAATTAGCATCGGATAATTCAGGCCCAAAGTTTAATACAACAATACTTAAAATCTAGTGAGCAATGTTCCCCAGTGGACATTTAAGTTATTTAATCCACAGTATTAAAGCTACAGTATTGTTACCCTATACATTTTTAAAGGTTGTTTACAGTAATGGAATAAAATGAATCCTCACCTCCTGGGTCTCTATCTGGATTGTACTCTAAAGCATTGCTACAGATTAGATCAATATCTCTCAGATAGTCTCTTGCAGTCAGATACTGGTGCAGGTCAATTTTACAGATAACTGTTGAAAGATCCATTGGCTGTTTGATAACTGAGACATAATCGGGTACCTACAAATGAAATATAAAAATGTGTTCAAAAGCTTTGTAATTAAACTTTCTTCACAGCTGACAAATTAAGGATCATACACCCTAAGTTAAATGAGTTGCCCCAAACAATGCTGAGTATATATGCTGTTTGTCTGCAGAAGTTATTCAGATTTACTATGAGGTTTCTTGAAAATGGAAGTTTTGATATCATGTTATATACAGTTTCCAAGTTCTTATTTACACTGAAGATGAAATCTGGTGTTATTTTACCATATATTCTTCTTGTATTGTAATGGTTTCATCGTTACTTATTTGTAAATAACCTATAGTTGGCATCTAATTGAGATGCAGCATATTTAATCTGACATTTTCTTTATCAGACATTCAAAGTTTTAACCCTTCTCTCCCTCTAACTATATTTCTAAGTTCAATTTTCTTCTGTCAAGAGTTGCAAGTGGTTCCCATCATTTCATAAAGTAAAAAACCCAAAAAACTAAACCAATTACCTTCATCGCCCTTGAGGGAAACTAGATATTGTACTACCTAGCTCAGCAATGAGATTCTCCTCAGCTTCTCTCATAGACTCTAAGGCCAGAAAGGACCATAACGATCATTTAGGCAGACCTCCTGCACAAAACCTTACCCACCCACTCTTGTAACAGAGGACTCAGAACCTCTGGTTAAGTTACTGAAATCCTCAATCTTTATTTGAAGATTTCAAGTTACTGAGAATCCACAACTTACTCTAGTTTAAGCAGCAAATGACCCAGGCCCCACTCACAGAGGAAGGTGAAACCCCCCCAAGGTTTCTGCCAATCTGACCTAGGGGGAAATTCATTCCTGACCCCAAATATGGTAATCAGTTAGACTCTGAGCATATGGGCAGGACCTACTATACACCTGGGAAAGAATACTCTGTACTAACTCAGAGCCCTCCCCATCTAGTGTCTCATCTCCAGCCGTTGGGGATGGGATATTTGCTAACAGCAGTCACAGATAGGCCATATGCTATTGTAGACATCTCATCATACTATTCCCTCCATAAACTCATTAAGCAGTCTTGAAACAAGTTGTTTTTTGCTCCCAATACTTCCCTTGGAAGGCTGTTTCAGAACTTCACTCTTCTGATAGTTAGAAATCAGAATCTAGTTTCAAGCCTAAACTTAATGGCCAGTGTATATCCAATTGTTCTTGTGCCAACATTGGCCCTTAACTAAAATAACTCCTCTCCCTCCCTGGTATTTATCCATCTCGTGTATTTATAGACAGCAACCACATCCCTCCCCTCAGCCTTCATTTGTCCTCTTATAAAGTAGGTTCTCTATTCCTCTGATCAACCTAGTAGCCCTTTTCTGAATCTGTTTGAAGTTTGAATTAATCTTTTTTAAACATGGAAGACCAGAGCTGCACACAGTATTCCAGATGAGATATCACCAGTGCCTTGTAATACTTCCTTATCTCTACTGGAAATATCTCATCTGATGCATCCTAGGATTCCATCAGCCCTTTTCACAGCCGCATCACACTGGAAGCTCATAGTTATTCTGTAATTGACTAATACACCTTTGTCTTTCTCCTCTGTCGCTTCCAACTGATACATCCCCAGCTTATAGTACAAATCCTTGTTGTGAGTCTCTAAGTGCATATCCCATCTGGAACATGTTCCTGGGGGAATTCTGCGCCATTGTGCAATGCAGAATTTGTGCAGAAATTAATGTTATGTGCAGAATTTCCTTTTCCTCCTGCAGAAATGGGCTGCAGAGCTCCTGGTTGCCACTAGGGGACACTGGACCAGGCAGAGCCTAGCTCATGAATAGACAACACTGCTGGGGGCAGGGGGAGGTACCCGCAGGGTTGCCTGCAGCTGCAGTAATCCAGCACACCCTTAAGGAAGGGGGCAGCGTGCAGGAAACTCCCTACAAGCCTGGGACCCAGCATCAGGCTGTTTCTCCTTCTGGATCCTGAGCTTCGGGTGGGGGGGGGGGGGGGGTTTGCAGGTGTCTGGGCTGGGGGGCACCCCACAGCTGGGCTCTGGAGGGATAGGGTGTGTGGGTGTCTGGTCCCCCTGCTGGGCTCGGAGACGGAGGGGACAGAGAAACAGGAACTAGGTTGTCGTAGGGGTTTCCTTAACTCTCTACTCCTGGGGGAATTTTTTTCTTCTCTGTATTGTTACAGGCATAACTGCTGATATTTTGTAATTTATTTCAAAAATACCTAATTAAAACTAGTGTGATTATAGTGTTATTTTGATAAATAAAACATGCAGAATTTTAAAATATTGTGCACAGAATTCCCCCAGGGGTAGGAATTGTATCGAACACTTTACTGAAATCCAGGTAGATTAGATCTATTGCATTTTCTTTGTCTAGAAAATAGATTATCTTCTCAAAGAAAGATCAGGTGATCTGACATGACCTACCTTTTGTAAAATCATGTTGTATTTTATCCTAGTTACCATTTACCTCTACGTTCTTAGCTACTTTCTCTTTCAAAATTTGTTCCAAGACCTTGCATACAACTCAGGTCAAACTAATGAGCCTGTAGTTTCCCACATAACCCCACCCTCCTTTCTTAAATGTAGGTACTATATTTGCAATTCTCCAGTCCTAGGGTACAACTCTTGAGTTTACAGACTCATTAAAAATCCTTGCTACTAGGCTTGCAATTTCACATGCCAGTTCCTTTAATATTCTTGGATGCAGATTATCTGGGCCACCCAATTTGGTCCCATTAAGCTGTTTGAGCTTGACTTCCACCTCAGATATGGTGATTTCTACCTCTATATCCTCAGTCCCATTAGCCATTCTGCCACTGTCCCCATGCATTATTATTAAAAACTGAGGCCAAATATTTGTTTAGCTATTGAGCCATGCAGAGGTTATCTTTAATCTCTACCCCCTCTGTGCATAGCAGTCACACTTCTTCCTGGTTTTCTTTTTATTTACAAGGCTAAAGAATCTTTAACTATAGGTTTTAATTTCCTTTGTAAGGTCCAACTCTGTTTGGCTTTTAGCAATTCTCATTTTCCCCCTACATTTTCTGATCTCCAAGTAGTAGCCTTCCTTTCTCTCCTACTTCCTCCATTAGAGTGGGAGCATTACTGATGTTCTTCATGGTGCTCAGTAGTCCTTAAACTATGCTCCTTAAAACTATGCTCCTCTCTCCCTGAAGCATGTACATATCTGAAGAGTGCTAAACCATTTGTAGTCCATCTTCCAGGGAAAAAAGGTAATACGGTCAACTTTAGGGTTACCATATTTCAGCACGGAAAAAAGAGGACGGGAGGAGCCCCGCCCCCGTCCTGCCCTAGCCCCGCCCCCGTCCTGCCCTAGCCCCGCCCCTTCCACTCCCCGCCCCCCTCAGAACCCCAACCCTACCCCTGCTCCTTGTTCCTTGACTGCCCCCTCCTGGGACCCCTGCCCCTAACTGCCCCCCAGGACTCCACCCCCTACCTAAGCCTCCCTGCTCCTTGTTCCCTGATTGCCCCCTCCTGAGACCCTCCCCCCATCCTAATTTGCCCCCTAGGACCCTACCCCCTACCTGTCCCCTGACTGCCCCAACCCTTATCCACACCCCCACCCCCAGACAGACCCCCGGGACTCCCACGCCCCATCCAACCACTCCCCACCCCCTGACAGCCCC